CGTCTTCGGGGGAGGGGGGGGGGAGCACGTTGTTTCGTTGGCTCTCACCGCACACGGCGTGTGTGGAGTCGTGTGCCTCCCCCACATTTATTTAAAATGTGGACGAGCGAAGCCCTTATATCTGGTATCTGAAAGTGACTGATGTGAACCTGATACAAGCGGAATAAGGACGATTTAATGTTAAATTTTTTGAGTCATGTCTTCGTGTACGGGGTTCTTTAGTTTATAAGGCACTACCAATACCTTTTGGCGGCTCTAGTGAATATTCATTCTTCCAAGAGACACCTAAAAGAACTAAGTTACTATACAAACAGAAAGTAAATAAGGGTCCTAACTATCACGTCATAAATTTATTAATCGGCTTATATTTGAACCTTTAGAAAAATTAATATATGGCTAATATACTGGTCACGTAAATTTGATATATTTTATATATATTATAAATATGTATAGATTTTAAAAGTAATAAAAAGGTAGGGGGGTTGGGTGTTCCAACTTCATGGAGGAAGAGGGATACTTTATAATGAACTCTTTCTTCCAAAAGCGGCCCCACAGGAAGTGGACCTGGTCAAGTCCCGACGGTTCGACAAAAAAATAGATTGACTTTATTACGATGACTTGATGGCAACTGTTCAGTGATGTCTCAGTGATCGCGAGGGTGTAAGCTGGTAGCGATCACCGAATGGTTAGAGGCACACTGAACCTAAACGTTAAATTGGAGAGGTCTCGTCTAATGAGACCTTGAAGAAAAGAGCCTACTCCTTTTTAAAAGGCCGGCGACGCATCTGTGATTCCCCTGGTTCCCCTGTTGTTGCAGTTGTTCATGGGCGGTGGTAGTCACTTACCATCAGATGAGCCGCATGCTCGTTTGCCCCCTCTCCTATAAGAAAAATGAAGTCAACGCTCCTGTCTTCCTCGTGCTCTAATCCAAAGTCCCGAAACCTTTCGGCTCGAGTTACAAAACCGTTTTCAATGCCTAGAAAATTGCAATGCAGTGGACGATATGAATGAAAAGTTTGTGGAAACTGTCCATGCGGTCGGAGCTAAGTTCTGTAAGACCTGCCAAAGATGAACACAAAAACTCTTCGATCACACTCTTAATCTTATGGCCGTTAGACGGGAAATGAAGCTGCAGTCTTAAGCAGATTTGGCAGTCTACAGGCAACTGAACAGATAGATCTTCAAATGCATGCGGTGGGAATTACGCAACTTCAACACAGCTCGTATTGAAGAAGCAATTGAGCGGAACCTGGGGTCCAAAGTCGTTGCCAGAGATCTGTCTGCCAAAAAGAGCCAACTGTCGAAACTGAAGACAGAGGGTGACAGCATCGTTGCCGGGATACCTGAGATTTTGAGTGAGTTTGAGAGGTTCTATGGGCATCTGTTCACATCATCGTTAGAGCCCCACGCAAGTGTGAGTAACGATCAAAGAGCAAGTCTTATCCGACAAAATTCCGATGATATCCCGGTCGTAACAGTCTGAGCGAGATTAGAAAGGCTCTCCAAAACCAAAAAAAGGCCCCAGGCGAGGATGGAATTAGAGCGGAGCTTCTGAAAGCGGGAGAAAAACCGGTACTTGAAGTCTACCTTCAAGAAAGGCGACAACAACATCTACAGACAGATGACCCTTGTGAGCCACGTCTACGTGCTGTTTTCGAGAGTCATTACGAATCATCTCGCACGCAGTCTCGACGACTTTCAGCCTCCCGAACAAGCCGGTTTCCGAAAAGGCTTTAGTATCATAGACCACATACATACCCTTCTGCAAATTGTACAGAATACTGAAGAGTACAATCTGAATCAAAAACACGGATAGCCACCGTAGCCCTTCTGTATAAACGTACATTAGGGCTACGATGGCTATTCGAGTACAGAACCAGAGTACGCAAACTATCCACCTGCAGAGAGGAGTAAGACAGGGTGACACTCTCACCGCTGCATTGGAAGACGTTTTCAAGGATGTACTGGAAAGGATACGATATTAATTCAGCTTCGATTTGCAGACGATATATTATGGCAGAATTGCTGGAGGACCTAAACACTATGCTCAATGACCTCAATAGTGTTTCCCAATGGACAGGTCTTAAGATGAAGATGGACAAAAGGACAAAGGCGTATGAGGAAACTATGCAGAGGGCTATGCTCGGGGTATCTCTGCGTGATAGACTTAAAACGAGGATATCTTCAGTAGACTCAGAGTAACCAACATTGCCTAACGGATTAGTAAGCTGAAGTGGTATGGACCGGCCATATAACTCGAAGAACCTAGAACCGATGGGGAAGAAAGGTTCTCGAGTGGCAACCTCGTACCGACAGGCGAAGTACATTATGAAGAACATGGAATTAGAAGAACATGGTACATTGCTAAGTGTAGGGCGTCCCCCCACTAAATGGAGTAACGACCTAGTAAGACATGCAGGAAGTCGATGGATGCAGGTGGCTCAGGGCCGTGCTTTGTGGCATTCCTTGGGAGAGGTTTATATTCACCAGTGAACTTGTGAAGGGCTAATAATAATAATAATACCAATAAAACCTTTTTTAGAATTTGAATACTGACCTCTTAGAATTTCAATGACATTCAAACAATTAAAAAAAATGTTTAAAAACAAAAATTATGTTGGTTTAAAGTTGACACGTCGTTAACAGAAATGGAGCTCACGCGCGAACATTACCGTGCCATAATTTATCACAACTTTCGTCGCGGCTTATCTCAAGATAAATGTCTCAGCGAACTTGTTTCGATTTATAATGTTGAAGCACCGAGTCAAATGACAATATAGCGCTGGTATGCCGAGTTCCGACGCGGTCGTGTGTCGCTCAGCACTGTTTCTTCTGCAGGTCGATCAAGAACAGCGGTCACGCCTGAAAACATCGCAGCTGTGCGAACTATTATATTAGATGACCGTCATGTGACATACGAGCACATTCGGGCTGTTATCAGTATCGGAATGACTGCAATTTAGTCGATATTACATAATGAGCTGTGTGTAAGAAAGCTAGTTTCCCGCTGGGTTCCCCACAATTTGTCCGAAGAGCAAAAGGCGACTTGTGTATATTGGTGCCGGAATACTCTGCAACGCTTCAACGAAGGGAAGTCAAATGCCGTTTATAATATCGTCTCAGGTGGCTAATCATGAACTTATTCATACGAACCTTAAAGAAAACATCAAACAGCAGTTTGGGTCTTCGAAGACGAGGTCAAACCAATGAAAGTGGTTCGTCCCGAAACGTCGCATCATCTTACATCACGATAATGCGAGCTCTCATACGGCTCGGAAGACAAATGATTTTTTGAAGCAAGAAAACGTTGAGCTGATGAGCCATCCTCCGTACAGTCCTGACCTGAGCCCAAACGATTTCTTTACATTCCCTAGAATGAAAGATTTATTTCGGTACGGTCAACGGTTTGAAGACCCCGAAGCAGCTGTGGATGCGTACATATCAGCCATTTTGTCAACATCAACTTCAGACTGGAATTACTGTTTTAATGATTGGTTTGCACGAATGGAAAAGTGCATTAAGTTGAACGGAGAATACTTCGAAAAACAATAAAATACAATTTAGCTATACCGTGCATGTGGTTTTTCTTATTCCCGATCATTTCAGTGTGCCCCTCGTATCATGTTTTTACAACATAAGGCTAGGTACGAAAAAGTCGGAATAATTACTGTGCTAATTGTTTTTAAAACTTGTTTCTTTTCTGCGCCGAAACATTCTCGGTTCAGATAATAATTTAATTGTATGAATATTTTAACGAAGAGTTTGAAAGTGAATGTTCTTTTTATTTCATTAAATTTTTATTATTGTAAGGAATGGTAGCAACAGTTTTTTTTAATAGAATAAGGTTGACAAACGAGCACACAGTCCAGCCAATGGTAAGTGGTTAGCAGCCCATAGACATCTACATCTATCCTCTATTATAAATTGAAATGCAGATGCATTGTCACCCGTGAGGACTACGATGGAATGCCTCATTTTCAGTAAAAGGGGTCTCTGGTTCTCTACACTCACCATACGAAACACAGCAGCGTTAAGCTGCTATTTTACGCTGGTATTCTGTGGCAGCGTGGTCCTTCCCCGGTCGAGCCGACCCATTCGTGCTACAACTATCCTACTAATATAGCTGCAGCATGGCACTACTACATATAATGCAGCATGGCTCTACCACGTATAGATGTTAAATTGTAAGCAATGATGTCTGTAAGACCACGGTCTCACAAAAATTCATTCATTCTTTCATTACCTATCAATCAGCCTATCAAATTCCACTGCTAAACATAGGCCTCTCGTTAGACTGCGTCATAAAGGATTTTTTTACAATAGTTGACACGCTTGGCTATCGCAGCTTTTTCTCATTTCATGAGCATGCAGTAGGTTGCTGATGTATTTCGTATGGTATGTGTAGAGAACCGGAGACCCGTTTAATTGGTAACGAAGCATTCCATCTTAGTCCTCAGGGGTGACAACGTATTTGCATTTTGATTTATAGTAGATGTAGATGTCTATGAGCCACAGTATCCACAAATCTTCGGCACTATGTGCTCATTTGTCACCTTACTGATATTATAAATAAGCGAACTTTTACTGAACATAATTTCGCTGATGTAGATTTCAACAATGTTTCCTATAATGCAAAGCAAGTGGTAAGAGCACTTGAAATACATTGTGAAATTTAAAATTAATGGTGATGTCGTTACCTCATCACCTTTATATATATTTTGTTAACAAGTCTTTGTTACATCATACAGTTTAGGTATTATCTTTAAACCCAAAGAACTATAAGTGATTCAACATATAAAATTGAGTATTTTAGACCTGTGTGATCTGTACATTTAAGAAGGATGTGGCTTTTTTGCATAGTAAGTAGGTATATTGTTATGTAATATCTATCTATCTATATTACGTAATTACTTAAAAGATAATGGTGCCGTATCGTTTTAATTAACAAAAAGAAAAGCAAACAATAGCGATAGTCTTAGCTTTTATTTTAGTGATATATATTAGTAGATACCGCATCCGCAACCGCCGAAGGGACGTCCGGCGATAGCGGGACCATAACCAATTCCTGCAGCAAGGCCTGGTCCGTACGCTAAACCAGTGGCTGCAGGGTAACCCCACGCAGGGGCGATGTCTTCGCTCACTATACCCACGGCACCGTCACCGCAGCCGTAAGAGACGGCACCAGCACCAACAGTTGGAAGTACACCCTCTAGACCAACGGTACCCAGGAAAGGTAGCTCACCACCGGCAGCCAAGATACCTGCGATCTCATTCTCAGAGAGAACGGACACACCAACGGGTGGGATGGGAGAAGCACTGGAGACAGGAAAACCACCCCCGCTGGCTGTGGGGATGGCAGCTAGACCGCAGCCGGCACCGTAACCAGCCCAGCCTAAACCTCCGCAAGGAGCGGTGGCGGCGGCGCAGGGAGCAGCGGCTGCCAGTGGAACTTCGTAGGCCAGTCCGTTTCCCAAGCAGTAGGCAGAGATCGTCTAAGTAATTAAAAATTGCATTATACATTATTTATAAATTTTTAGTGTTATATTGTATTGGTTGGTTAAAGAAAAACAACTTGCACACAACGTTCAAGTTTTAATTCCTTACCTGCACGAAAATTACTTGAGCGCAGAAAAGAATGAAGGCTTTGGAAAACATGTTTTCTGTGTTTATTGAAGACAAGTGTGAGTCTGATGAGGGCTCAATGTGTTTTATAGTGCAAAGGCACTGGCAATAATTGAATTGATGCCTATTGAAATAACTTCACGCAATATAATAAACGTGACATACGTGACAAATAAAACTAAATAATTTGGAAAATATAATATTTTTAAACGCTGTTCTATTATTTGCGAAGTTACTTTCTCAAAATTAATTATATTTTACTAATAATATGTCTATTGTGCTGTGGTATCTATCTCAGGGCCTAAGCGCTCACTGTAAATACAGAGTTGAACCCGGGTTCGATCTCCGCCGGCACCAATGACATTGTTACTCGTAATTGCAATTTTATGCGCTGATTTACCACGTGCTTGACGGTGAAGGAAAACATCGTGAGAAAATCGGCATGTCTGAGAAATAAGAAAAAAAATTTTCGAAGACAGGTGAATTTCGCCAACACGCATTGGGGCAGCGCGGCGGACATTTCCTTGGCCTAAAACACTCAGAAATGAGAAGAGGCCTGTGTCCAGCAGTGGGACTGTGTTTTATTAATACATATGTCTTTGGCTAAGTTGGGTTTTACTCCGAAACTTCTTCAACTCTTTGACAGCTATTTGGACAATCGTCGTCAATTCGGTAGAAATCTGCGAAGTGTCAGTTATACGCAGATGATCTAAAATTAAGCTTGTCTATTGGTAGTGCTGCTGATGCACAGGCTCTTCAACAGGACATAGATGCGGTATCGGAATGGAGTGAAGTGTACCATCTTCCTCTTAATTAGCTATGTCTGTACCAGTGCGCTTTCCTGTTCATCTTGCGTCTTCCTTTAACGCATGCCTGAGCAACCCTAGCGCATGCGCTAAAACTCGTTCGACAACAGCGCTAGCCTAGCCTCTAGCGAACGCTGGTCCGTCACCGGTGGGTTCGCGTGCAACATATCGTGCATTTTTGTATGTTCACTAAATAGCGGAAGACAAAATTAAAACATTAGAATTTATCGATGATTATCAAACATATCAAGTATTGTGGCACCACAAGCACAAAGATTACACAAATAAAATAAAAAGATACGACGCGTAGATTTTTCTGAGCCAAAAATATATTTATGATGTAGAAACGGTTTAAATGAAGATAAAGAGCTATATAGCTAGATAATGAGGTCATACTTCTAAAAGGAACATCATAATGTTACGATGAAAAGGGGTGGATCCGGAACAGAAGATAATTGGGTATGGGTATAGACTATCGTCTATACCCATGCGCTTGTCGCATACAACTTGTGCCTTGTGTTGTGCCATAAGACGCAGCTTGCAGCTTATGGCACAATAATATGTATAATAATGGATAATATAATAATGGAGGAAACGTTGTCGCTTTTTGTATGAAAATTTACAGCTTCACAATCCTCCTAAGTCTTAAGTGTCTCGTGAAGTTTCTATAACTTAATAATAACTTTTTAAATTAATTGCGTAGACAAACACTGACGCAAGTTTTAATATCGGTTACAAAATTTGAAGTTCACCTGAAACATTTACGATATATAAGTCATTCATTTTATGTTGAATAATTACTCTAAACTTGACACACTTAGAAATCACATCCTAACATGTCGCCTTTTGCTTTCTTGTTGCTCTGCGTTCAAGCTTGCTTGATCCAGGTAAGGTACTCTAGGTACTCCCTCATGTTTTTATAACTTCTAAAAGTATTTTTAAGGACACATTTTTTAAAGTATCTTGTAAAATGTGGTAATACGTATTTAGAAAAGGTGTTTATGAAAGATTTTCTTATTGGCAGAATGCGTACAGCCAGTGTCTTGGCGCTGGAATTGGCTTGGGCTATGCTCCTGGATTCGCAGCTGAATACAGTCTCGGATGTGGATCTGCTTTAAGTAATGAATTCACTTACGGCCCTGGGCTTGGTTTTGGATACGGCCTAGGTGGTCCTGTTGGCCTGGGTGCTCCTGCTGGTATTGTTGGCCCCGCGTACGGAGGTGCAGGCATTGGCGACGTAGCGGTCGCTGGCGAGATGGGTGTCGCTGGTAACACTCTTATAGCTGGTCAAGTACCGATTCTTGGTGCTGTCAGATTCTGTGGTGAAGTCCCAGCCGGTGGTGTTGTTTCCATTGCTGGAAGTTGCGACGGAAACTGCGGTTGCGGTTGCAACGGTCCCTACCTATACTGAAAATAAGCAATAACAGTTTTATAATTTCCAAATATCAAATTTGAAATATATTTCACAATTTATTAGGTAATTCTCTTGGTTCATTTCTTACATAAAACCTACTCACACTCCTTACTCACTGACCACGATATATACAAGTACGCTGCACTGGCTATACCATACAAAATTCTTATGCCGATTTGAAGCGCCCTCATCGTCCGTACCGGGAACTAAAATTGAAATAATATGTCAGTCTGTTGTGTTATTTAAATCGTATCTTTGTATTTTAAACTTTTAAACTATATAAAAAGCAAAATTAAAAATTTTGAAAAACCCACGCGGATGTAAAAGTTGTAATCGAAAAAGGATTAAATAAACATATTGATAAACCCCCGACTAAAAGGAAGTAAGTCACGAAAGATAAAAATAAAACGAGTTTTTAAAAGGGTTGATTTACCGCGAGGTATGTCATTATAAACAACTAATTATGTCTTTCCTTAGTCCTTCCTACCTTTGTGTACCTATTAGTTTGTTGTAGCGATAGACACAGCAATAATATAAAATATAGGTACTACACCTATTCACCTACCTATTAGGTAATATAGACATGAGAAAGGACGGAGACACCCCGCCTTTCTCATGTCCAATAAAACAGTCGTCTGTTTAGTGTTTAGAACAAAGATAATCATTTTGTTTTGGACGCCAATTCCCAATTTTTGTGCTTTTTAGCCATAATTTTAGTCTAGGTTAAGTTGGAAACCTGTTAATTAATAAACATTTGATAATTATCTGTTGTCGGCGACTTTGGTTGTTAACAGATATGGGTTGAAAAGAACATCGATAAGTATTATAGACAAGGAACTCGACAACCCTATTGAATTTTATTGTTTATCAAAACATGTTTGTAATCACGATATTAAAATGAGTAACAAATTTTAAAGTACCTATATTATCAAATAGTTTTAATTTGTTTAATATTAGCTGTAAATTAACTTACTTGTGGAATGTTATCCCACTTTCTTTTGCTAACGAATTTTACATATTTAGCACTCTCATTATTACTAAAGATAATTCTTATTGTATAACTAAAATCAAACAGATTCAAACTACATAAAATACTTTCATTTTTACCCGCGACGGAACGGAGAAGGTGTATGCGTTTAGGGTGAGAGGTTGTTTGTTTGTTTGTGTGTGCAAACGAATGTTTCCATATATCTCCAAAACGGCTTAACCGATTTGTATGGTATAGCCAGTGCGGTTTTTGCAAAGGGTTTATGATTCAACGATGGTTCTTAGGTAAATGTTATGGTAGGTGGCGCTGCAATGAACATTTAGTGTGCAAACGAATGTTGCCATTTATCTCCAAAACGGTTTGACCGATTTCGATACGGTTTCCTGTAAAGGGTTTGTGGCTCATTGGCGATGGTTCATAGATAAGTTTTATGGTGTTATCTCACCAGGGGGCGCTGCAAGGAATATTTTCTGTGGAAACGATTGTTCCCATTTATCTCGAAAACGATTTGACCGATTTCGATGCGGTTTTCTGTATAGTGTTTGTGACTCATTGACGATGGTGTTATGGTGTTAGCTAGCCAGGAGGCGCTGCAATAAAAAAATTCACTCGTTACAAAGAATTGTAGCGAATTTTTTCCTCGGGACGGCTCCACCGATTTAGATGCGGTTATCGATATCTTATAACATATGTGCCCTACAGGCACATTTGTGTGTTGGATTGGTGGAGAATAAAACCGCTGCGATATTTTTCTTTCTTCTATATTTGGTGTTTTCCTTGAGGTAGCTGGCCGCCGACTGTGTCGAACGACGAAAATCGCCCCTCTTTTATACCGCCTCGGGCTGGGTCAATGGATACGGCCGACGCATCGTACAAATGGCGTCGACCAATCAGCGCGAGGCGTGACAGAGCAAGTGACGATGCTGAGTCCCGTTACATTGTTTGTCTTAAGCTAGTTCTATATCTTACTGAGTCATTGTTTACATTGTTTACCTTAAGCTAGTTCTATTATACAAAGTGACCAACTAATTTTATTACACAAATATAAGCTCTACACTATTATTTTCTTAACATAAAATGCTTATATCTTATCTAAACTATAATCTCTATTAATATAAATGTTTATCCTATCTAAGTACAAACTATCTATAATATTTATTCCATTAATACCAGGTGGCCCATAAGTCGTTAGAAATGTAAATTTCGAATAAAATACAAAAGGCGCGCATGAGTGGCGCGCGCGGTGCGGGGGGAGTACCGACGGTTTCTGGGAATTCAGTCGCCATGGAGCGTTTCACCGGTGCGGACCGTGCATTTTGTGTGCGCGAGTTTTATCGAAACAATGATTCGGCTACCATTGCGCGGCGTAAATTTCGAGAATATCAGAATTTACGCAACTTTAAAGACATTCCAAGTGTTCCAACGATTAAGAACTGGGTTATTAAGTTCGAAGAGAGTGGTTCGACGTTGGATAAACAACGGTCAGGTCGACCAAGGACATCACGGACGGAAGAAAACATCGATGTAGTGAAACACTCAATTCGTGAAAATCCTACCCAGTCTACTCGTAAGCGTTCCAGTGCATTAAACTTACCCAGAACATCGTTACAGCGAATTTTAAAGAAAGATTTACATCTTCACCCGTACAAGATTCAGTTAGTA